CTGTCAAAGATCCAGAAATTGTCCACTTTACCTAAAGTCCGCTAGTGAATAGAAGGACTTTACTAGTCAATCATAAGAACACCAAATTTATGCCATACTCATAGTACACCCAACTTTTCTATTTCTCAGCGGAACTTTCTTTTTACTTAGCGTACTTTAGTATTTTCATGCGTCACTTTTCTCTTAACAGAAGAACTTTTCCCTTTTCAATGGATTATCATTATTTTTTATAAGAGGACTTTTCTATTTCTCAGAAGAACTTTCTTTTTATTCAACGGACTTTAGGTGGACTTTACTATTTTCATGTGTCACTTTGCTCTCAACAGAAGGACTTTTCTCTTTTTAATTGATTATAATATCACTTTGATATTTTAATTCAACAAGACCGAACCAAAGATCATTTTCAATTTGATTGAAACTGAAACTCATTTTAGACTACAAAGTAATGGTTGTCGTAGGAATATGCATTTTGCAAGTGACAAATATGAAAAATTCATTCGAATTGTTGTAAGAGGAAAAGCAGTTAAAGAAACAGGCAATTCAATAAATGTGTTTCTCTAGGATGATCAGGATCAAAAGAAAAGGATGCGGGTGACTTTGTATGCTGCTAACCATACTTCTATCACTATACTTGAACTAATAAACTGTACTGCCAAACTAGCTGACTTTTGGTCTATGGAAAATGTTTAAGGTCTCTCAGAAGAAAAATTTGGAAAGCAAAAATACATTAAAAGAGAACCACTAAAGGTGAAATCAAAAACTAATAGAACATATTTACTGTTTCTTTATGTCTGTAAATGACAGATAAAATATCAACCTAATTACAATTACTATTCGATCCGATTTATATTGAAATCAACAAGTATTGATAACTAAATAAACATAATCCTTTTTTATTTCCAAAATTTGTATCATTTCATAAAAAATAATCGAGATTATCGGAAAAAATTGGAAAAATACCATATAATCATGTTGTTACGATATCGCATGCATTTCAAGAGTGACAGTCCTGAAACCTTGTAATTATTTAGTACTAATTACGTAATCTAATATGCTAAAATTTCAAAGATTTTTCTTTTGTCAAATCCGAGAAAAGTGCATTTTATAATTACTTCACAATGTATGAAGCACTCTTTCTATATCTAATAGATTCGCCCACTTAATTTAAAAATTCGAATCGCTCTTATATTCATCTCAATAATATAAAATCATATGAAAGGGAAAATCCTTTGCAGATGAGTAAAGTTTCCTGCAACTAAAACATATCCTGTTGTCCGTCAAATATATCTATATAAGTATATATGATAAAATTCCTCTTTAATTTTAATGCATAAAAATTACTCTGATATAATCTCTTTTAATGATATTTTATAAAAAGGAACATACTTTAAAAAACAGAAAAGTTCGCTGGAAGAAGAAAAGAGATGTCCTATCGCCATAATTTATTATAGTTTACCAGATTGATCGATTTGAATAAAATTCACTTCGATTTTTCTTGTATTTATATCAAGAAACCAGCTGGTATCGAAATAAAAATGCTTTATAAAGCAGAGAAGTTTGTGTATTAAAACATATCTTACTTTATCTTAGTAAAACGAAATCATATGAAAGCTAAATTCCTCCGAGAACAAAAATATCCATTGGAACAAAAAAAGCATACTGTTCTACATCAGACGTATCGACAAATGATTATATATAATAGATTTATCCTTGTGACTTGAATTCATCGAAACGTATTCTATCTTTATCCAGATGAATCAGTTCATATAAGAAGGAAAATACCTTACAGAACAGAAAAATCCACTGAACGAAACAAAAGTCCTCTTGTCATTTTTATGCATATCATTAAGTTCTTTTGATTGACTAGTAAAGTCCTTCTATTCACTAGCCGACTTTAGGTAAAGTGGTCAATTTCTGAAATAGTAAAGTCCGCTAAGTAAAAAGAAAGTTCCGCTGAGAAATAGAAAAGTCCTTCTGTTAAGAGAAAAATTATGCATGAAATCATGTGACTTAAATTCAGCGAAGCGTATTATATCTTTATCCGAATGAATCAGTTCATATGAGAAGGAAAATACCTTACAGAACAGAAAAATTCGCTGAACGAAACAAAAGTGCTCTTGTCATTTTTATGCATATCATTAAGTCTCTTTGACTTTAATCTATTCAAATGTCTCTCATATACATATGTTAAAAAATTAAATCATATGAAAAGAAATATCCGTTGGAAGTATGAAATGTCCGCTGGTGAAGTATTTTTTCTTTCTTTTTCTGTGACTACTTGTATATATGGATATATATATCAGATTTTATCCGATATGTAAAGTCCCACATATTCTTAGCGGACATTAGGTAAAGTGGACAATTTTTGGACTTTTGACATTGCTGACCGGAAATGGCAACCGTATCCGGAGATTGTTTCCGGGTCAGAAATAGGTGGGAACTAGACCGGAAACGGAGACAGGAGCCGGTGTGGGTATCCTGCTTCCGGAATTTCGTGGAAATCCATCGGATCCGGCCGTTTTCTGCCGTACATCTTCGACCTGTGGCATAAATGGCTTCGTAAAACATCAAAAGGTCCCGTATTTGTTATACGAAACCTTTGATAGTTTTGTAAGTCTTATATAATGGTTTCGTATACATTGTACGAAACCAATAATGGTTCCGTAGAGCATGTAAACGTTCCGTACATATAATATGAAGCCATCGACAGTTTTGGAAGTCGTACAATGGTTCCGCATGCATTGTACGAACCTATAGGCAGTTTCGTAAATCAACTAATGGTTCAGCATATCTTTTATGAAGCCATTAACAGTTTCGCAACTTATCTGAAGGTTCGGTATACATAGTATGAAACCGTCGATAGTTTCGAAAGCTAGATAGTGGTTTTGTGTAGATTGTACGCAACCATTGATGGTTTCGTAGAACATCTAAAGGTTCCGTATATTTGATATGAAGCCATCGATAGTTTCATGAATGATCCAATGGTTCGGCATATCTTTTACGAAGCTATGCATAGTTCCGTTAATGTTGCAAAGGTCTCGCACACATTTTGCGAAACCATTGATAGTTTCAAAAGTCACATAATGGTTTCGTATATCTTATACGAAGCCATTAACAGTTTTGCCAGTTATCTGAAGGTTCAGTATAAATATTACGAAACAGTTGGCAGTTTCGTAGAGCATCTAAAGGTTCCGTATAAGTTCTACGCAGCCATTCATAGTTGTGTAAGTGCTCTAATACTTCCGGGCACATTGTACGAAACTAGCCATGGTTTCGTAAAACATCAAAATGTTCTGCATACATTGCACGAAACTGTTCATAGTTTCGTAAATGATGTAATGGTCGGGTATATCTTTTACGAAACCGTGGCTAGTTTCGTATAATGTGTCCGGGACTCTTAGAGCACTTACGAAACTATGAATGGCTTCGTAGAACTTATACGGAGTCTTTAAATGCTATACAGAACTGTCAACAGTTTTGTACAAAAGATATGAAACTACCGAAAGTTCAGTACAAGATGCACAGAACTTCTAGAGCGTTTCGTAGTAAAACTTCAAAACCCTCTTCAATTTTCGGAACTTAAAAAGGTTCTGTATGAAAATTACGAAACGATTTTCATACCACAGAACTTAAAATCGTTTGGTAAAACAGTACCAAACCTTCAAAATTCGGTAGAACGCCTACTTTTTGTAAAGTGTGTGGGGGGGGGGGGGGCGAGG